CCACGAGTAACGTCGGCAAGGATGGACGCCATGATCGTGGCAGCTGCAACGGTATATCCAATGCGAACATCAGTGGAGCATACAAGAAATTTGGGCCTCAACTGCCATCACATGACGACGAGACGCTGACTTCATGAAACCGGGATCGACTGCCATATTCCAGCTCACAAAGGGTGGCTAACACCTACTCACAAGGAGTGTCGACTTGGCTTCGCATTGGAACACCTTCCACATACAGAACAATACTGGAGAACCATTATATTTACCGATGAAATAGTGTTCAGGGCAGTGGGAGCCGAAGCAAGGCAGTGCTGGCGGCCCCCCCAGAGAAACACATTCAACATCGCGCAGTGAGTGGTAGGGTGTCGGTGTCATTCTGGGGGTGGATGTGGGCACATGGGCCAGGTGAACTGGTCAAGATCAATGGCCTTTTCACTGGTGAGCAGTATGTAGACATCCTGGAGCAAGTGCTAATTCCTACAGTCCGGGCTAGGGCAGTTCCAGCCCCCCACACTATCAGGCTGGTTCATGACAACAGTCCCATTCATACCAGCAACACAGTGAAGGACTACCTCCAGGATCACCCTGAAATTGACGTCATCGACTGGCCAACACTAGGATGTGATATTAATCCGATTGAACATATTTGGGCCATGAAGAAACGTGATTGGCATATTGGGGAGCAGCGAACCTGTGCAGCAATAGAGGCCAAAGCTAACGACGTGTGGGAGAGCATAAGTCGACGACCAGGGGTGTGCCTGAAGCTGGTCGACTCCATCCCTAATCGCCTTGATGAAGTCCTGAATGCAATGGGTGGCTGGACCAAATACTAAGATGTGTGTATTGGTGTATTGTTTGGATTTTAGTATTGATTTTAGTATTGTTTATAAATAAAATTAATATATATTAACTCACCTACAGTGTTATCTTAAATCCATGTCCTTAATGATGTCTTAAACTATATCTCATGAAAATTCATAACAAAGTAACTTAACAGCCACAAATTATGTATTGTGTGTGGTATACAATGATCTGTATGACACGTCGTGGAATGTGTTGTCTTATAACACAATATAATTATATAGTTACAATAGCTACCATCATTGAAATGCTCATGATGTTCAGCACACAATATTAACGGTAACTGAGCACACTCCAAAATATATGAAGCTTGCATATTGTGGTGGGGTGTTTAAACACTGGAACTTGGAAGAATTGGAACTAGATTAAGTCTGAATACTATTTTACAATACTGATAACTTTTTCACTCCACTCTTTTTAACATAAGTATATAATTATATAATATTGCATATTATCACAAATATTTATTAAGCAAAGGATGGGTGGAATATAAATAAATATTACCATAATCTCTTTGTCGGAATAACAACAAAATTGTGACGTGGTCGCTGAGTAAAACTAGCTGACCCTTGCATATTTCACTTTTATCCTTAATATATTCCATTCTTTAAAGTATCATTGTGACCTGAGCGGCAATAAGCACCCAGGGCACTGCACCTGTTCCATGAATTCGTAACCATAAAGAAACAACCGTAAGACAAAACTTAGTTAAAAAGGCAGCTTGAAATTATAGTGGTATAAATAATAATTAACCTGCCTCTCATCCAGCCCCCACCTCCTCTATCTCCCCCCTCCCCACACACACACACACACACACACTACAGTGGGCGACATCTGTTGGCCGACCATAGCATTTCGCCCAGCTGTTTCGAAACCTCACTGTGGCTGGGTAGTGGACACGACTTTTGTGCACGATAGTACAGGTATATAATTTTTATCATCAATATCGATCTTCGTTTCTGTAGGCAGCGATGTTGATTAATGAGATAATATTGAACTCGAGACACTTTGAGACAAGTTCCAGCTTTACTTTATATATATATATATATATATATATATATATATATATATATATATATATATATATATATATATATATATATATATATATATATATATATATATATATATATATATATATATATATATATATATACAGTGAGTTCTGCTATAACGCGTGTTTTGATAACGCGAATTTGCTCTAACGCGATTTATGAATTAGGAACGATATTTGTATAACGCGAACGCTTGTTTGCTATAACGCGATTTTTGCTTACTATTTCTCCAATTTTGTGGTATTAACTGTGAATATAGTAAAGAAGAATATCAACAAGAAGCGTTCTGGTGATAGAATTCCCGGTGATGATCGTAAAAGAAAGGATATAACACTTGAAGAGAAGCTCGATTTTATCAACCTCAAAATCACCCTTCTCCCCCATCAAGTAAAGTGTTACATTTACTGGATGATTTCATTATTAGATATGAATGTAACATTTATTTAGACTGTGCTTTCCTTTGTGTTAGGCTAACTATTAAATTTTTTCGATTTCGAGTAATCTGCACCTAACCCTATTTTCTCCATAAGCCCTGTTATTTCTATTACGCGATTTTCTATAACACGATATTTTACAAGAACTCAATTATCGCGTTATAGCAGAACTACCTGTATTGGGGAGAATATGCTCAGGTGCAACTGGAGTTTTTCCCAGTTGGCTCCTTAGCCTCAACAATTCCATTGGACTATGATTATTGGATACCTAAGTAGGGGAAGGTGAGTGTGCAGCCCCCAACAGGCATTTAGGCTTAGTGTGGGTGTTGGGGCCTGGAGGATGCACCTGGAGTAGGACTGGGCTTTTCTGTCCTGCCCCAGGGTTAAAAGAGGTGTCTGTGGTTTTGTGGCCACAGTCGACCCAGATGTAGACCCATCCAGTGGACCCACACCATAGTTAACCCTTGGAGATGGCTCCCCAGATGGAATATCGAGAGGTGATCCATGTCAGGGGTCCCAGCTGCCAACTCTACTTTAGCTGGGGTCTTGTCACCAGATACTTCCGGAAGAGGATCAGTCGGCATCTCTGAGGAGGAGGTACCAACCTAAGCTGACATCTGTTGGAGTGTCTGGTACTCAGAATAAGGTTCTGAAGTTTGCAACAGTCAGATGATTCTACCATTGATATCTTGTTTGGTGGATCGTCTACCTCCAGAGACTTTGAGGACCCTAGGTTGCATTTAGCTGAAATTCTTGTAGTACCAGGATGGCTGGTGGAGGAAAGATGAGGAGTAGCAGATGTGCCTGCCTCATCCATATGGACCTGAGCCACTACAGGAGAAGTCTGAGGTTTGGTGGCATATTCAGGTGGGGGAGCTGAATTCAATACAGCTACTGATGATTCTCGAGGCGGTGTCCCAGCAACAGTTTGCCGAGCCTTGTGTCAGGATAGAACCTGTGCATAGTTATCATCATGACTTGAGATAAATTTCAGTGCTGTGCTTCTGGCTTCAGCAAAGCTCATGTTGTCTCTCATGCAGATATTTAGTAACTCTTTCTTAATTCGGAACTGGTCACATCCACTAGAAGAGGCCGGGTGAGCCTCACTACAGTGAAAATAGCAGATCGGACCCGGACATTTCTGACCCTCATGGCCCTTACCACAGTTAACACATACAGTACTGCAGGAACTCCCTGCTCTAACTTATGACAAGTGCAGCTGACTTGGTCTTACATCTGACAATTGAAGCATCGTCCAGAGTTTGGGACATATGGTTTCACCTTGAAAGATCCAGGCAACCTTGATAGAAGTTGGAATTTTGAAGCATTCAAATGTCAATAACAGAATTGGTGTATGGTTAAGAGTGCCATTTTCTTTCTTGTGGAAACTATTCACTTTCACCACCTTTTGGACTTGGAGCTCTGCCAGAAGCTTTTCTGAGTACCAGAGCAGCTGTTTTGAGAATACCATCCCTCGACACTGGTTAAAGGTGGCATGTGAAGTACAGAAGACTGGAGCACCAGGTACCTCAGACAGGGCACAGAGTAGAGCACTCTCCTTGGGGGAGGAGACCTCCACTAGGGGGCTACCATCTTGCTGAGTGAATATTTTTGGTTCTTTCCCTGTTAATATAAAAATGTCCAGGTCCATTACAGGCTTGCCTTCCATGATACAGAGCACTAGATATTTTGCCAATTCTACCTGCATGAACACACCTGGTAGTATCTCACGGGTAGAAGCGTCATGGGGGGGTGCCAGGGCCAGTGGGCCTCCCGCGGGTCTTATACTTGAGTATCTGTCATGACGCAGAGCCACTTTTCCCAATCTGATAGGGCCGCAATGTAGCAAATGTCAATCCAGAGGAGGGTCCAGGGACGGGTCCAGGGTCATGGGGGGGGGAGGGTTGTATCTGGCCGGTTATTTGGGTTTTTCCTTTCCATAAAAAAGAACTTAATTGCTTCATTCCCCCCACCCCTCACCGAGCCCAACAAGGGGAGGTCAATGCCAGAGATAAAACCCTTGTGACCTCAGGGGTAGTGGAGGAGTATACGCGGGTAACCACCAGGTGGCCAAGACGGCAGCTCCTCGACCATAGGAGTGCCAGGTCCCCTGATGCCCACTTGACCCTAGCCACACTATGACCAGCTGATTGACTTGATCGGGCCCAACCAAGCCACCCATTTAGCTGGAATTGGGAACCAAAGAGGTGTGTTGCTAGCATGCAGCATCACTCAAACTCCAAGACTCCCATCTCCCATCATTATAGGACACCATGCACAGCAAACACGTGAGAGAGTATTCCAGCTCCAGTGGTCTGAGTTGAAGATGAAGCTGCCAGCGGCAGCATGATAGGAGCCATTTTTGTGTGGAGCATCCCTGATGATCCACTGGGTTTGGGAAACCCTTCCCATCCCTCCTCAGAGAGGGGAAGCCCCCATCTGGTGCTACTCATCGGATCACCGGGACTTGAAAGCCCCCCCCCCCCACCACCATCAAGGCAGCTCCCACCGGGGTGTGGGGGGGGTGTCAAGGAGGTTTAATGAGGATCATCTGCAGTGCCACACAAGTCTAATAAGTACAGTATCTTGAAAGCTTCATAAGATATAGTTTAGTAACAACAAAAATTTGCATTTATACAAAGATACATACTCGTGCATGCTCCCGAAGGTGGTCTATAATGAGTCGATCAACACGCGAAGGAGATGGCGGGAGACGAGGGAGTGGCACAGTATTAGCAGAAGAAACTCTCTTTCCAGGAAAACACCTTGCAAGTTCTGCTTCTGTCTTCTTACGTTCACGTTCTAGTTGGCGAAACTGGTCATAACATTCTTCCAGGCGTGAGTGTAGTTCACCACTTCCTCCAGTGCGCCTGAGTACAGAAAACCATAGATAAAAAACCACCTAAATTATTTGTTACTGTCTAGTCCTATTAAATCAAGTACTGTATAGCAAAAATGTACATACAAATGTGAAGATAGATCATTGGTGAAAGATGACAGAAAATCCTTCTAGTAAATTGAAACACTTTCAACCATTCTTGTGTCTTTCTTACAGTATCATACCTCCTTTATTCAGGTAACTTCATAAAATTTAAATAATATTCACAACTTCATATTAGACTCTTTAGTAACTGTACCATGTTGGAAACACTTTCTTGTCCAATCAGCAAAGTTAAGCAATGTTGGATCTGCTTAGTACTTGGCCTTAAGAACACCTGATGCTGCTGACATAAGAACTATACTGAAAACAAGCCTCTGATGACTTTGTCACCTGTCTTTGGTCAAATTGACTGAAAATTGTATCAATTATCATTATTTCTTTGTTAACTAATTAGAATACAGCACACAGACACAAAGAAATAAGAAGAAGTGAAGCATATGTTAGACAAAGCTGGCCTGGTTTTGCTTGGGTTTGGGTTGTGGGTAGGCACCTTCTTTGATTACCTCAAGGATATGTGAACCTGGCTTGCCAACTGTTCTCACCCTGTGAGTTGGTGTTAGGAGGGGCATCCAGCCATAAAACCTTGCTTCAACATGCCTGATGGCAATTAGGTCAAACAGAGCAGTGCCTATCCTCTAGTCTCTGCTGTATTTTCTGGGCTAGCATGTTGCCTATACAGAGGGTACTGGGTGAGCCTTTTACAGGCTGGGGACTTCCACTTGATAATACAGGAGCCTGAACTCAAGGGTAGCCCCTTGAGAGGCTACTCCATAATCAAGCGCATAATACCACAGTGAGCATTAGTGCCGTGTCGCATAAGGAAGGATGTCCCTGAAGGTGGTCATGGTGGGTCATCCCGAGGCCCCAGGACTGCTCTTGCTATGGCATATGGGTTGCAAGCATGCCAAAACCTAAGTTAACTACATTACCAATAAAGACAAATGCTACCATGAGCTACAAATACTGTATAGTCATACCACATAAAAACCACCCGAACACCACACTAATGAATGCTACAAGATTGATTGATTGATTGATTATGGTAATTACATCCCTGGCGATGCAACAATTAACTTAAGTCATATATCGCTGAATTAAAGACTCAAATCAAATAATACAAGGTAATAAACATAAGTAACAAATAACATACATCTTTCAAAAAACATTTAAACATTAATAGATAAAACTCAAAGCTTGTGCAGAAGGTCAGCCTCCTCCACAAAGGAGAGGACATCCCCTCCCACATTACCCACAACTCCACCAAGCACCAAAGAGAGGGGGTAAGACCCGTCTCCTCCCCAGAATTGGGAGAGGTGCTTACTACAAAGATTTCTGAGATTGGGGTACTCCACCAGGCGGTGTCGAACAGTCAGCGGGACCAGGCAGGAAATGACAAGCAATCACAGTGAAGGAACCTGACATAGTTGGGGTTAGAGCTGGATGTCTTAACGTCAGTTCAATGTGAGGTGCAGCAGATGAGATTATGGAGACATGGGCCGTAGAAAGCTCAGTCTGCTGTAAACAAAAAATAAAGTGGAAAGGTAGCTCAGAAAGTATGATAGAAACAAGATATTCTGGAAGGGCAAGGATCCAGGAACATGTAGAGTAGAGATCTTGATTGTTGAAAAGTGCGTAGAGAAAGTACTAAAGGTGGAAAAATAGGTGGAGAAAAATGCTATAGGTGGAATAGTGGGTGGAGAAAGTGTTAGAGGTGGTAATGGGTGGAGAAAGTACTAAAGGTGAAGAAGTGGGTGGATTAGGTGTTTGAGGTGTTAGTGGGTGAGTGGGAATAGTGAAAATAACAACTTGTTGACCAGGAGAGTTGTCGACTGTTGTGTTGTTGTGATGGAGGTGACTAGCCTGTAATTGGTTTCAGCTGTAGCAACGTGCAGTGTAGCGTATATGTCGGCTTAAAAGACGGAATTTGAACCTTAAAAAAATCAGCCCAAAATTAGGGGGTCATCTTAAACGCCGGGTATAAAATCAGAACCTCTACATCCTGTGGTTTAGTGCGTCACCAGTGGTGATGGAGAACATTATAAAACACTCTCCTTAATCCCACGGTCCTACCACTAATTATTTTCTACTGAAATTAAGTTTGGGAAGCTAGATTAAAAATAAATTACCGGTATATTAAAATAATAAAAATGTATTATAAACCTGTCTAACATACCGTAAATACCGTAAAATAACAACATAATAAAAGCAGGGATCATCATGCACCGCCTGCCATTTGCACCTGCTGCCGAAGTAAACAAACAGCCAGTCCTACCGATCGTCAAGCGAAGCAAGTTTATAAATTAAAGAAAATTCCTGCATTGTATTTTATGCCTACATTTCTAATATAATACAGTATATTATAAATAAATAAATAAACAAATAAATCAGTAAATCCATTTCATGTAAATGGTAAAATTATACTCGACACCGACATTAGTTCCAGACGACACCTAAGTGACATCACTAGTGTTTACACTACACCAGCTGGGAACGTTTGATGCCATTACTTGAAGTGAATTGGCCTCATTTTAAATAACCAAGGATGTGTTGCTTAGCAGTGTGTTTAACAGCATCACTCCACTGGTTAGTGGGATGGTTGGTAAAGGACTACTGGGGCAGTAAGCTCCCAGTGGTAAGTGTCAGATTTGTGGTAGTCTTATACAGTGTATAGCTCAAAACCAATGTTTTTAAATGGAAATTTTGGGGGTCGTTTTATACACCCCGTGGCCTTGTACGCCGACATATATGGTACAGATTTTCATCACTGGCACTGGTAAGTCCAATCCTTGGAGCTAGTCTGGCCAGATGGCCCAGGGCTATGAAAAGCCCTGGCCAGCTGTTGGCCAGGCAAAATGACCAGCCAAGCTGCTGGTGACTATTAATACTAAGTCAGCAATACTTCCAAGGGGGAACCAGTTCCCTCAGAGATGTAACCATATGATTAGTAGGAGTGTGCAATCAGACTTCATACAGAGAGGTCGTGCCACATTTACCCTGAGCCCTCACCAACATTCGTTGCGAGACTTGTGGACTCGCAAATTAACCCTTAGAAGTTTCTAAGTGGATTGACCAAGGAGGTAAACCTAAGTGATTTAATAGTGAAACTTTCACAATAACCTGATAACTCCTTTGCTATACGTGTGCAGTATATGAAGTTTATTTTGTTAATAAATGTAAATAGTGTAATTTGATATTTACATGATCCTGTGATAACTTTGCACCATTTGTAAGCAAAAATATTACCAAGTGACCTTATCCACAGTGAATATAAAAACTCATTATTTTCCCATACTCACTGACATAGTTGTTGAGTTAAGGGTAGTGGCAGCATATTGACCATTGACTGATAATTAAGAGGATACAGCCTCCCGATTGGATTTTTGTGAGATTAACTAAAGATAAACAATAAATTTAAAAACCCAACAGGTGGAGAAAGTACAAAAGGTGAAAAAGTGGATGGAGAAAATGCTAGAGTTTGTGACAGTAAGAGTTGTGAACTGTTGTACATTAATAACTTTTGATAATACTACTTGTGCACTGTTTGTTTGATTATACTATTTGTGTAATGTTTAGTTGGTAGTACTACTTATTCAATTTTTCAATTTCAATAGTTCATTCCTTAATAGAGGAAGCGGGATCCTAGTGCTGTCACTGGGTACCCCTGTACAATAACACCAGAAGCATCTGGCAAGTGTCACAAGGTATAAATGTTATTATGGGGTACTACTTGGGTAATACAGTAGTAACATCTCCGTTAGACGCAATCCCTCAAACCTGGAACTCTCCAATAGCCAGAATTGAAATTTTCCTGATACCTGGAAAATTCCAGGGAGGGGGAATATTTTTCTGGATTCGAAAGATGATGTAATGGGCAACTTCTGGAACTCCCGAGAAAATTTTTCCATTACCCGGAAAATTCCGGGGATGAGGGATTTTTTTTCTGGCTTTGAAAGAGTTGTCTCGTTACCCGGAAATCTCTCATTTCCAGAAGTGATCTGCACCAATGTTCTGGCTAATGGAGATATCACTATTTGGGATTTTTGTGTGCGTTGAAGGAAATCAAATACATTTCAAACAGACAAGTGTCTATTCCTCTGCCCCATAAACATTGATGGCACAGTGAGTAAGATAAGAACCTACACTACAAAAGATAAACTAAACCCAATATTCTCAAGTGACAGTTATAATGCAGCTGCCCTGCACCATGCAGGGCTGCCCATATGAGACCCCACAGTTGTACGCGACAGGAGCTATCCGAGTGCTTGAGATACACCAGGCAAACGTGCACCCACCAATGATGACCGCCACAGCACCGGTCGCGACCACAACAGGAGGATCCAAACCTCAGAATACCATACAACCCAAGCTCACTGCTGGCCTGACTGAAGAGAACTAGGCCCCCTACGAGACCACCACTGGCCTGACTGTGGAAGTGGTTGCATGGTTGCAGTGCAACTCCTTGAAAGCTGTGAGGAAGCTCTTTGCAGCAGCTTCCATAGGAACCTGGGGGGGGGCAGGCTTTCCACCAATGATGAGACCCACCTCCTTCGTGAAATCAGAAGACTGGCAGTGAGAAAACTAACAGGATGGAGATTAGGATGCAACTGGGCCACCTGACACAGAACAATGGCAAGCAGATGTGAAACTTTGCTGTCAATGCCATGGGGCAAGCATCTGTCTAACTATAGTGTGAAGTGCACCAGGATGAGTGCGACACAGATGTTAGCTATGCAGAAGAGGTCATCCGAGATCAAGTCACGCAAGGCCTGCTCAATATAGATATCCAGAAGGACCTACTCAGTCACCTGGACCCAAAAAAACATGGACCTCGATGCTGTTTTGACTTTTGTCAAGCCAAGGATTCAGGACTGATATCACAGGGTCTCCTGTCTGACCAAATGGCGGGACTCCACCGCAAGCTATCAGAAT